AGTACCGGTGTAATCCATTGGATTTCGCACAATCTCTGGCAACAGTATCCCGATTACTCATACTGGCTCATCCACCCTCTGCACTCTAATTTTTTTTATCACCATAATATTCTATGTGCGCTGCATATTAAACGAAATCTTATTTCAGTTTATAAGTTCTGTAATCAAAATCGCACTTCTATTGAATTTTCCCCCTCTTTCTTTGTTGTTAAGGAGCTGTTCACGGGAACACCATTGGTTCGAGGCCAGAATAGGAATGATCTGTATGAGTGGCCAACGTCTAGTTGTCAATCACCATGTGCTCTCACTACTACAACGAAGCCCAACTACTACTAATGGAACCAACGACTTGGCGATCCACATTTTAGAGTCCTTCAAGATATTTCAAATAATCAGACTTTACCTTGTCTAAAACAATTCTAAGTTTCAGTTTTGCAACTCTTGCAATTGTAATAAGAGCCATCGACTCCCTTTTGGTCACATCTCTTTAAAGAGTTCTCAGCCACTTGAAATCATTTATACTGATATTTCGGGTCCCTCACCCATTCATTCTCTAGATAAGACTTGCTATATTATCTTTGTTGATCACTATACCAAGAATACATGGCTATTCTCTTTATTAATTTAAACATGAGGTTACCTCCATTTTTCTAATTTAAAATATCTTGTTGAAAACAGTATACTCTGATGGAGGGGGAAAGTATAAAGGTCTTCAAATATTTATACTAGCACATGGCATACAACACTTAATCTCTCCCCCATACACACCTGAGAGAGTTGTGTTTGCTGGACGGCGCCATCGCCACATTATTGAAACCGCTCACACCCTACTTCACCAAGCGTCTCTATCCTCAAACCTATGGACTTTTTCTTGTCAAACTGCAACTTATTTAATAAATCGCCTTCACATAAGTATTCTACAGAATAAGTTTCCTTACCAATGTCTTTTTGGCAATCAACCAAACTACCATACTATCCGAACGTTTAGTTCTCTTTGTTACCCATGACTTAAATCATATGCCAAAAACAAACTTGAACCACGATCAACACCTTGTGTATATCTTGGATTCTCTTCCAAATATTATTGTTACCAATGTTTTGATCGAACTTCTTCAAAAATTTATTTGTCACACCATGCTAAGTTTTATGAAGATATGTTTCCCTTCCAAAATATGTTTTCATCAATTAAACAGCCAAAGTCATCCATTGAGTGGCATGATCTTGTGAACAATACAGCAGCCTCGCCAAGTCACTCCACCTCGTTGCCCTATTCTTTTCAATATCCACCACCCATACATATAAAACCCACACAACAAAATACTATCCCAACCACAGTACAGCGGAAGCTACTTCTCCAGATGATTCCTCTCGGCCAAGAAATTGGGTCTCACGTGTTTCAGAATCATCTTCTTCATGTAAGTCTCTTCCATTATGTGTATCTGACTCTCCATCTCTCTCTCTCCTGATGCAACATCTTTATCATCCCAAGATTAACTGTCATTTCTTCTACATCTGTTGAACATCTTGCTGCTAAACATACTAATATAAACCCACCCGTGCCTCCCCTAAAATATCGCATAATTACCCGCTCACATAATAATATATTTAAACCAAAATAGATTGTGGACTTTTGTCCACTTCCTCAGACATTATTCTACCTACTACTTACAAACAAACACAGAAACATCTGATTTGGCGTGCGGCCATGAATGATGAGTTTCAAGCACTTCTCAAGAACTAAACATGGGACTTAGTTCCTTCTCAGCCATCATACAATGTAGTTGGGTGCAAGTGGATCTTTCGTGTAAAATACAAAGTGGATCGGACAATTGATCGGTTCAAGGCTCGACTTGTAGCGAAAGGCTTCACCCAACGTCCAAGTATTGATTACCATTCTACTTTCAGTTCAGTTGTTAAACCGACAACGGTTCGTGTGGTTCTATTAATTGCAATTAATAGCGGATGGCCATTACATCAATTAGATGTAAACAATGCATTCTTGCAAGGAACACTTGATGATGAAGTCTACATGACACAACCACCAGGCTTTGAACATCCTGACTTCCCTTCACATGTATGTCGCCTAAAGAAGGCTTTCTACGGACTCAAACAAGCTCTACGTGCATGGTATATGGAACTACCGGATTTCCTCCAAAGGTTTGGGTTCTCTTGCACTCAATCTGATCAATCCCTCTTTGTTTACTCCAAAAATGGTATTCTTTTACATCTCTTAGTCTGTGACAACGACATAGTAATCTCTAGAAATAACAAGGATATGCCCTTTCATGCCATGACTGCTTTGGCCAACGATTCTCCCTAAAGGACCTTGGTCACCTACATTATTTACTCGGTATTGAAGTGATTCCTCACAAAGGAGGGTCTCATCCTGTCTTAGTCAAAATATATTTCTGATATCCTTCGCAAATAGGACATGTTTGACTGCAAAGGTGTCCAAACCCCACTGAGCACATCAGTCACCTTATCCTTGAATGATGGCACACCCCCTACTGATGCTACATAATATCGTAAGGTTCTTGGCAAGATCCAATATCTATCTTTCACTCGGTTGCAGTAAACAAGCTTTCTCAGTTTATGCACAACCCATCCATTACTCATGGGCAGCAGTTAAACGTGTACTTCGGTACCTGAAACAAACTGTGATGTATGACCTTCTTCTTCGCCGGTCCTTCACACCCAATCTTCATGTTTATTCTGATGCTGATTGGGCTGGCGTTCATGATCGCACTTCAACTTCTGGGTATGTTCTCTATCTCGGTGGAAATCCTATCAGCTGGTCCTCTAAAAAGCAACGAACTGTTGCCCGCTCTTCCACCGAAGCAGAGTATCGGGCTGTTGCTATTGCCGTTGCGGAAGCTAACTGGGTAACAAACCTCCTACATGAACTTCAATGTTTACTATCTCATCCACCTACAGTGTACTGTGATAATATTAGTACGACATATCTCTGTCAGAACCCTCTATTCCATATTCGAATGAAGCATATAGCAATTGATTTCCATTTCGTTTGCGATCAAGTCCAGCAGAAACAACTTCAGGTTGTGCATGTCCACTCGGCTGATCAACTTGCAGACAGTCTCACAAAAGCTCTTACTAAGGCTCCTTTACAACTGGAAAAGAAAAGATAATTGCAACAAGTAGGAATAATAGCAAGATGAAATAAGATTGAATCCAAGAATGCAGTGAAACTCTAGATAGTAATAGTCATCTGGTCTTTACAAAGAGGCGTCTAGCTTATCTGATCTTTAACATTATCTACCTACAAAAACATTTTAAAATTCAAAATATTGGTGGCTTAACTTATCCATTGACATTAATTAGTCATTGTAACAACTTTCTCTATTTCAAAAAGAATGAACCTATAACTATTTGGTAAGTCAAAAAAGATTTTTTTTTTAAAATATATTTTAAATTGTTAATTATTCTAGCTTATAGTACTTTTTATGTAATTTCTTAATATGTAATATTTATTTCAAAAAATATATAAAAAAATATTCGAATTCACAATGAAAATTAGGCAATTTGATTCTCGCACTCAAAAAAAGTTCAAACTAATTGAAACAAAGAGAGTATGTTTACCTTTCAATTTATCAAGTGTTCTCCACTCCAGTTGCCATGATTACGCGAATGAATTTGATCTTGAGCCTTGCTCAAAGAGTATTCATCATGCAGGGATCTGTTGAGAGTGGAGAAAAATGTATATTCCAAATTGATTTTGCGGTGACAAGCTATGTTCGTGTTCACTAGAAACTGGAAATCATTTATAAGGAACCTTTCCATTAATAAGTCCTGCACTCTGGCAATTATAATGATCAGACAAGAGAAAAGGATTAACAACTTAGAGAGAGGAAATGAATTCATGCAAAATTCTGATTCTGTGTGAACATATGCATGTCTTTGGTTCACGATTCCCAAAAATCACTACACTATTTTCGCAGGTAAAAATAGCACGGTATAGCCAGTTTTCGGACTGGTCAATTAAAAATAGTCAGCGTTTACCAAGTCAATGAAAAATAGCCACTATTTTGCTGCAATAGAGACCGGTCCAGCATAATATACTGGAGTTCGGTGCACTTGTGTATGAACTCCAGCATATTATGCTGGACCGGTATACTTTGCTGGTTCCAGTATAATATACCGGAGACTGGAGTGGTGCTCCAAACTCCAGTATATTATACTGGACCAATATACTTTCTGGAACTCCGGTATATTATGCTGGAATTCTAGTGTACTTATGCTGGAACTCCATCATATTATGCTGGAGTTCCAGCATACCTATTCTGGAACTCCAATATAATATGCTGGAGTTCAAGTATACTTATGCTGGAACTCCAGCATAATATACTGGAGTATTTTTCGGGTTTTGAACAGTGTTTTCGCTCAGATTTATCTTTATATAAAAAGTGGCTAAATTTCAATTACTTTTGAAATTGGGCTATTTTTAAACGACCAGTTGTAAATCTGGCTATTTTTAAAATTTATCCAAAGTGATCCAAGGCATATTGTTGAATGCTAACAGGGTCAAATGGACGGATTGATCGAGCTGAATTTAATCGGGTCCAAATGGAATGACCTTAATAAATGGACAATTTAGTTGTTACTTGGACAGAAACAAATGGATCAAGATGGGCTAAACAATGGATAATAGCCCAACTCATTCAAATTTTACCAAGTTTTAATTTCTTATTTTGTTTTCTTTTAATTTGCTTAATTATCAAACAAAAGTAATGAACTTTGTTCTTTTATTATCTCTATATATAATATATCAAGCAAAAAAAGTTATCTAAATTATTTCAACAAAGTTTCTCATTGGTCAACTTGGGCTACATATTTAGCAAATCAATCCAACTGTTAGATGGGGTGAATTTGGCAAAATCATACTTTCATGGGCTACTTTTGCCGCCCTCAGTTCTAACTATGACCAAATCATCTTTAGTTTGTACATTGTAAAGGACCCCAATCTAGATTTTTTATTCAATAGGTAAATAACTCGAATATATAAACAGTCCAAAACCGGATAATAAAGAAGACTTGCAATAAGGTAACAGTCAAGGTAAAACTTGTTATGACGAATTTTATAGATACAAAACACTCTACAAGACTGATCCTCAAATTTCATTGTCTATTTGCTGTTTAAGGAAGTCATAATCTCATCCAACGCGCTCTTTCCTCTTTTGGTAGTGCTCTGTTGGCCTCTAATATACTCCTTATATACAATGGGCCGATACTTGCTTTCACTATTTTCTTTGAGTAGTTGGCCTGCAGGCTGAACTATAGCTGCCATTTCTGGGCCATGGCCCACGGCTACTGAGATCCTCGTCTTCTCTGTATTGACTACTGCTCGATGCTCTACGCTCTTGTACCTTCCATTACTCAGTATCTGAGGAAAATATTTTTCTTTTAGTAACTGCAATTTGAGTTTAGAGTATGAAGTAAAAAGTTTTGTAAAAAGAAAAAAACTATATTAACATTCAGGTTAGGCGTGTTAGTCGGTTGGTACGGTATTTAGACATTTCTATTCGGTATTTTCGGTATTCGGTTTCTTAAAATGTTATACCAATACCGTACCTAATTAAATTCGGTATGGTTTGATTTTTCTACTTTTGATTTCGGTTTATTCGGTTCGGTAACTTCGATTTATTCGGTTAGAATACTAACTAGTGCATATAGTCATAGACTGTAATATTATTAATTAAAGTACTCAAAAGTACAAAACTAAAAATATTTGTTGACAAAAGTTTTGTCCAAAACCAGCAAATATCAACCCAGAGAGAGAAAACTATACATAAAGGAATAAATTTGATCATTAGAAATGTCTTGTTACTTGATGAACTTAGAGAATAGAAGAAAGTAAAATTTTAGATTTTTTATATTTGTGTTATAATTAATAATATTGTATTGTGTAATATAATAGATATTTCGGTACGGTATCGGTATTTCATTTTAAAACACCAAATAATACCAAATATCAATTTTTTAAAAACCTTAAACCAAATACTATATCGAATACCAAATACCAAAATTTTCGATTTCAGTACGGTAATTCAGTATTTACCAAATTATGCACAACCCTAATTCAGTTCCAAACAAGGATAGAATGTATTCTCTATGCTTCAATTTAGATAACACATTTTGCTTATCGAGAGTCAACTTGACTCAATTTTGAATCTAAATTGCATTTGTTCAACTTAGTATTTTAAAATTAAAATTTTAATATTGATAAACTATACAAAAAATATTATAAATTGTAATTTTTCTCATGTCAATATGATTAAAAAAATACATTTTAAATATTGATTAAACTTCACCGACTCTCGATAAGCGGAATGTGTCATTTAAATTGAAACCGAGGGAGTACATGGTAACTAACAAGGATAACATTCATGATAAAAATGTTAACTAATGAGCTATAACATGTTAAACTACACTAATAATGCAAAAAACCTCTCATATAGAAGGTCATAGAGGCGGATGTGGATTTTTTCCGAGCTAAGTTCATAGGTATTGCCTAAAAATATAGTACTACTTTGTAGAAAAACAGAGCACTGTGTTAGTGTAACTTAATTAGAATGCATTTTATATTTAGAGATTTTAAGAAGTAAAACAAAATAAATAGGCTTAAAATAATTAAAGATAATGAGAATAACCTCCAAATAATCTCCGAGGTTGACGACGAGAGTGGCAGGGACATGAGGGACGGAAAACCAGGTGTGATTGTGTTTAATTTGCAAGCCATGAATGCCATTGTCCATCAAAATAGTGAGACCACCATGATCAGAATGTGCAGCAAGTCCTAAGGTTTTGTTAGGCTCAGGACATGGTGGATAAAAATTTGCAGCTATGATTTGAGTCCCTTCTCCAAGTGACCTTTCTATGTACTTTGTATCAAGACCTAATCCTTCAGATATTGCACCAAATATTTTTATTGCAAGCTTCCAAACCTCCTCTAGGTACTCCTTTGCAATGCGCCTTCGCGTACATGTATAAATGGATTAAATTAATCAATCACTAAAGGGGAAAAAAAATCTTTAAGGGGTTGTTTTGGTTAAGGATATTAATTCTCAAATAAGATGTGAGAGTATTTATCCTATGTTTGGTTATGTGCATTAGCTAATAATGGGATAAACTTTATACCGTAATGGTGGAATTAGCAATCCAAATAGAAAGTGGATAACTAAGCGTTTAGGATATCCTTATCTATCTCACGGTTGAATCAAAGGAATCCTGAGTATTACCCTGGTCACTCTATAAAGAAAATAAGATTAGGAGTATAAAGGACAAATCATTAATTTTCCTTTGTAGTGGGACATCGATTCCCTAATTTTTGTAAAGTTCAGATATATATATAGCTAGTGAATACACCAAAAGTACTCGTTAGAATATTACACAAAATATATCTAAAGCTTCAAAAGTTTTTAATAATTTGTTGACTCTCCAAGATGCAGCATAAAAGAGGAGAGAATACAATCAACCATAGAAGGATGAGCCAGAATAAAGCAAACGACCTTTTCAACTTATGTTGGGAAGAAGTGCGCCAAGTGTAACAAAACGTAAGAGTTTTAAGTTATATTACTAGATTATTAGGCAATTTAACCGGTGATAGTTTATTACTCTATATATATATATATATATATATATATATATATATATATATATATATATTCAAAGTTATCGAAAAATTGTCCGTATCGATCAACTTAATTTCATAATATAAAATTTCTTTACAATATCAGCATAGGGACATAAATACGAACTTAAAGGCTGGTAAATGTGAAGCATGCAGAAAATTACCTGTAGCAAGGGGGATTATCTGGCCAAAGGTGATGGCTATGCGGAATTGGACCGCCGTAGTGCCTCAGAAAGTCCCTCCAATGGAGAGCATGTTTTCGGCTTGTATTCAAGCTTGTTCCGTATCTTACTGGGTCCATCACATCTTCTGATGCATATCTCATTTTTTCTTCCAATGGCAAATTAAAAAAATCTTCTACAGCTTTAAGCATTTCATCCATGACAGAAATCTTTATACCATGATTAGTAACCTGTGGATTTTGCAATCACATAAAAGGATTTCATTACATTTTTTTTATCATATAATTAAGGGAAACAATATTACTCCCCCGTTCCAAAAAGAATAATATAATTTTACTTTCAATCACAAGTTTCAGAAGTCGTTATTTCTTTATTAAAGATTAAAAAAAACACAACACATAATATAAGGCGACCCTAAGAACTTGTAGACAAAGGCAAAACACTATCAGTGAGCATTAAAAAGAGATGAGGAAAAAGACGGAAACTAACTTAATTAATTACCCTAAAGAATCCCCATTCTGCACAGGCAGAACTAATGGCATGTATAGTTGCTAGTCTTTGCTCAACAGTTCCATTTAAGCCACTCAAATCTATAACTGGAATGGAACCACAGATCGCCAAAGATGGCCTTTCGGCTTCTGGCAGTGGCAAAACAAACTCGGGAGGCAGAATTTTCATGTCGTCCTTTGAATTGTCAATTAGGTACTTCACACCTTTTCTGTAATCAACGTCCGTAGTAATAGAAGGTGAATTGCCATTGTTGCTGGTGGAAGGCGGAGAGGGAGAAATCGCCGTTAGAGCCATTACTATAGAAGATTATGGATTCTTGGCTTTTCAGTTTTTCATGAATTCCTTTGCCAATTTCCACGCGTTGTTGTTGTCAGAGCTATAAGACTAGTGGCATTGTCCATGCAGATGGGACATTTTCTGTTCTTTTCTTTAATTTGCCTGTTTCAAATTTTGGAATCTAGCTAACGGAAGTAACGATGCTCTTTTACAAGTTTAAGATGGAAGGCTTATTAATTACATATGTTAGTGCATTGGTGTTATATTAGTCACCTAACATGTCACGTTGGCCCTCCGTGAACTATCGTGACAGCACCTAGTCTTTACGACTAGGTAAGCCTAACAAATGCAGGAAACAACTAATCTTGCGGAATAACTAATCAAAAGCCGAATAACTGGAAGAAATAGTATTTAAATGTTGCTTGGCATATACACACAACTTTCCAAAGTCTGATACACTATCCCAAAACCCGGAAACTCACGGATCCACAAGCTGAGAAAAACACTACATAGCTCTAATCTCCGGAATGTCTAATCAAGAACATAAAGTACAGAAGGGCTAAATACTAGATGCAGGAATAGAAAGAGACTCCTCGGTCTGCAGACGCGGCAGATATACCTCGAAGTCCCGTAGAATCGCCTCGCCTCAAGAATGGTAAGCCTGAGTAGAGGTACCTGGATCTGCACATGAAAAACATGCGCAGAAAGGGCATGAGTACACCACAGTGGTACTCAGTAAGTGCCAAGCCTAACCTCGGTTGGGTAGTGACGAGGAAGGTCAGGGCCCTACTGAGGTTAAATAAGATATAAAGTTTAACAGCGTGAAATAAACAGTGTAGATAAGTAACACAAGATATAAAGGACAGCAACAACTATCACAGAGGCAAGTAAAACACAGTAAGAGATACAGCTCAGCTGATTTCCCGTTTGGCCAATATAAATGTCATATCCAGTGGATCTCCCGGGTGCAGTCCCGTAGTCCAACTCATAAATGTGCAGAGGGATCTCCCGAAATACAATTCCGTAGTCCAACTCATAAAGGCATCTCCCGGAATGCAATTCCGTAGTCCCAAAGTAAACATACAGGGGAGATCCCGGGATACCGTCCCGTAGTCCCAAAATAAAAGTGCTGGGGGATCTCCCGGAATACTGTTCCGTAGTCCCAAAGTAAACATACAGCAACAATAGGAATTCAATCCAAAAAATTTCATATCAAAGTGAAGCAGGTAATCCTAACCTAGCATGGTTCACGTAATACAATTAAGGCAGGTAAGGCAAATAGAGCAATTTAGTCAAGTAGACATGCTTCTCTAGGCTACAGTAGGTTTAATTTCCAAACAGTGTAATTAAGAAAAGGAAGAACACAATCCAAGGCTATTTTTAATGAAAAACCGAATTTTCCAACAATTAGCACAAGTGCGCGCTCGTTACCTCACGTACGAGGCATTTCAATTACCACAATATCAATCCTAAGGAGAAAGGTCCCCCACACAAGGTTAGACAAGCCACTTACCTTGAACAAGTGCAAGTCAACCCGAAACCACGCCTTTGCTACGAGTCTCCGACTCCAAATGGCCCAAATCTATTCAATCAAATTTCATAATGTAAATAACACTTCAAGCAACTGATTCTACAATTAAATTCTAAGCTAATACGCGAATTTAGGTAAAATGACCCAAACGCCCCTCAAGCCCACATCTCGGAATCGGGTAAATTTACATTTTCGGAATCCTCATACTCTCACGAGTTCATACATACCAATAACACTGAAATCGGAGCCCAAATGACCCCTCAAATCGTCATTTAAGGGCCTCTTAAACTCAAGCCCTAATTACAAATTTTTCCCAAATTTCTCATCACTAATTAGGTCTTTCATCACATAAAAACGAGTTATGAAGTCAAAAAATGTTACCTCCAACTGATTCCCCTTGAATCCCTCTTCAACCCACTTCAAAAAGCTTCAAAATCGCATAACAATGGAGGAAACTAGGCTAATAGCCTGTTTGGCCAGGCTTCTTTTTGGCCAAAAGTGCTTTTTTTTTTTGGCCAAAAGCACTTTTGGCCAAAAATTGAGGTGTTTGGCCTAGCTTTTGGAAGGAAAAAAAGTGCTTTTGAGGAGAAGCAGAAGCAGTTTTGGAGAAGTAGAAAAAAGTAGCTTCTCTCCAAAAGCACTTTTTTTAGAAGCACTTTTGAGAAAAATACACTTAGAAGCAGTTTTTTAAGGCTTGGCCAAACACTAGTTGCTGCTCAGAAGTGCTTTTCAAACTAATTAGCCAAACACAAACTGCTTCTCACCAAAAGTACTTTTGAGAAAAGCACTTTTGAAAAAAAGCACTTCTCAAAATAAGCTGATTTTTGCAGCTTGGCCAAACGGGCTATAAGACTCGCGAAACAAGCCTTTTAAAACATTCTGCCCAGATGTTAAATTCCTTCTTCGCGAACGCGGTCAAAGCCTCGTGTTCGCGAAGCACAAAATAACTTTGACCATTTTTTCCTTCTTCGCGAACGCGAGGTGCACCACGCGAACGCGATGCACAAAACTCCGCTGGGCCAATTCCTCTTTCGCGAACGCGAAGCCCAATCGCGAACGCGTAGAACAACCACCCAGCCTCTTCGCGAACGCGAAGGCCAAACTCTCCCCCAGCCCCAACTCCTCTTCACGAACGCGAAGAAGGAAACCAGAACTGACTGCTGCAACTTTTTCTGCAATTTTCTAAGTTCCAAAATGACCCGTTGAGCATCCGAAACACACCCGAGGCCCCCGGGACCTCAACCAAACATGCCAACCAATCCTAAAACATCATTCAAATTTGTACCAATCTTCAAAACACTTCAAACAACATCAAATTCCCCAAAACTCATCGAATTCAAGCCTAAGTTTCTAAAAATCTTCTGAATCCCGCTTTTAATCAAAAACCCAACCAAACCACCTCCGAATGACCTGAAATTTTGCACACACGTCCCAAATGACATAACGAAACTACTGCAACTCTCGGAATTCCATTCCGACCCTCGGATCAAAATCCCATTATCGAACCAGAAACTTCAAAATTAGACCTTTCGGCATTTCAAGACTAAATTAGCTACGGACCTCCAAAATACAATCCGACCACGCCCCTAAACCCGAAATCACCTAACGGAACTAACGGAACCATTAGTTTTTGCATTCTGAGGCTGTCTTCACACTGTTCCAACTACGGTCAACTTTCCAACACTTAAGCTTTCATTTAGGGACTAAGTGTCCCAAAACTCTTCGAAACTCAAAACCGAACATCCCGGCAAATCGAAATAGCAGAAATAAACTTGGGGGAAGCAGTTAATAGGGGATTGGGGCGTAAATTCCAAAAATTACCGGCCGGGTCGTTACATCCTCCCACACTTAAACATTCGTTCGTCCTCGAACGAGCACAGAGACATACCTGAAGTAGTGAAAAGGTAAGGGTACTGGCTGCGCATATCCTGTTCGGTCTCCCAGGTCGCCTCCTCGACCGGCTGACCCCACCACTAAACCTTCACTGATGCAATGTTCTTTGACCTCAGCTTCATAACCTGCCTGTCCAATATTGCCACTTGCTCCTACACATAAGATAGATCCTCCTCCAATTGGACTGAGCTGAAATCCAACACGTGCGACGGATCACCGTGATACCTCCGGAGCATCGAAACATGAAATACCGGATGAACTCCTGCCAAGCTGGGAGGTATGGCAAGCTCGTAAGCAACCTCCCCAACACGCCTCAATATCTCAAAAGGGCCAATAAACCTCGGAACCAACTTCCCCTTCTTCCCAAATCTCATAACGCCCTTCATATGCGAAACCCGAAGCAGAACCCGCTCTCCAACCATATAGGAAACATCACGAACCTTCCGGTCCGCGTAACTCTTCTGTCTGGACTGGGCTGTACGGAGTCTATCCTGAATCACCTTGACTCTCTCCAAAGCATCCTGAACCAAGTCTGCGCCCAATAATCTGGCCTCACCTGGCTCGAACAAACCCACCATAGATCTACATCGCCTACCATATAAGGCCTCGTACAGTGCCATCTGGATGCTAGACTGATAGCTGTTGTTATAGGCAAACTCCGCCAATGGCAAGAACTGATCCCAAGAACCTCCAAACTCAATCATACACGTACGGAGCATATCCTCAAGAATCTGAATAGTGCGCTCGGACTGTCCGTCCGTCTGAGGGTGAAATGCCGTGCTCAACTCCACCGAGTACCCAACTCCTGCTGTACGACTCTCCAGAATCGCGATGTGAACTGAGTACCTCTGTCTGAAATGATGGAAACTGGAATACCATGTAGACGGACAATCTCCCAGATATAAACTCCGCCAACCGCTCCGAGGAATAGGTAGTACACACAGGGATGAAATGCGCGGACTTGGTCAGCCGATCCGCAATAACCCAAATGGCATCGAACTTCCTCAAAGTCCATGGGATCCCAGATACGAAGTCCATGGTGATCCGCTCCCACTTCCACTCCGGGATCTCTATCTGCTGAAGCAATCCACCCGGTCTGTGGTGCTCATACTTCACCTGCTGACAATTAAGCCACCGAGGTACAAACCCAACTATATCCTTCTTCATCCGCCTCCACCAATAGTGCCGCCTCAAATCCTGGTACATCTTCGCGGCACCCGGATGAATGGAATACCGCGAACTATGGGCCTCCTCTAGAATCAATTCTCGAAGCCCATCAACATTGGGTACACAAACTCGACCCTGCATCCTCAGTACTCCGTCAGCACCAATAGTCACATCTCGAGCATCACCATGCAACACTTTATCCTTGAGGACAAGCAAATGAGGGTCATCAAACTGACGCTCCCGGATACGATCGAACAAGGAAGACCGAGAGACCACACAAGCTAGAACCCGACTGGGCTCCGAAAGATCCAATCTCACAAACTAGCTGGCTAGGGCCTGAACATCCATCGCCATAGGCCTCTCTGCTGCTGGTAAATAAGCCAAACTCCCCAAACTCTCTGCCCGGCAGCTCAAAGCATCGGCCACC